TACTTTCAGCGAGGGTGGATTAGGCTGTTTTGGTGCTATATTACAGGTAAGTTTACATTTTTTTTTTTTTTTTTGAGTGGAATAAATCTAAAATTATAAGGAATAGACTGGACTAAAAATATAGATTTCTAGATTGTGCCCTTTTAAAAGTTAGGGCTCTCCAAGCTGTGAGAGTAGCTTTTGCCAGAAATTTATTTTGTATATTAATTTACATATTTTATCTTTTTATCTTTTTTTACCTTTTTGTTTCACTGGTTCTTTGGGTTTTAAAGAAAGCAGGACAAGAATCCAGTGTTTAAATTCAGTATGAGAGCCATCATACTTTTCAGTATGGCTGTCCTACTGTAAAGTAAAAAGTTAAACTCCGAGGAAAGCATTGATCTAATGGGTTCCATGCATTACACATGTCTGAGTAAACTTAAGTGTGTGATGTGCTTGTTGAACATGCATATTAGGTCCCCAATACTCCTCTTAGGAGCACTGGGTTGAATCATCATGGAGTAGTCCATGCCTAATTTGTGTCGTAGTGGTAATTGGAGAGGTAAACCGTTGGGAGGGAGCCTCACGATGTGGAAAAAGGTAAGTAAATCTTTTTTTTTTCTTTTTTTTTTTTTTTTACTTTTCTAGCAAATTGAGGAGGGCTATGAGGCTGTAAAGATCTAGGGACAGGGGCACTCAAGTCAACCTTTTTCTTTTCTTCAGTGCTTAAGATGATGTTTATCGTATGCATTTATTTTTTGTCTATAGCACCACTGTTAAATACAATGCCTTGTTATGCCTGAATTCAGGACTATTGCCTAACAATAAGATCATAGAAAGGTGTTATGAGCAGTCTCCCTCTAGGTTATAACTAGTGTTCTAGTATGGCAATCGTTGGCCGCTTTAAGTCTCATATTTCTATAATTTTCTGAAAGCCCATTCCTTAAGTTCATAGAATTGTATTGTTACTATACCATACATTTTTGTTATACTTCATGGCTTTAGTCTTGTACGCTATTTTACTGATATTATCTACTAAATAAAGAATATATAAATCTCAGTGATTTGAAGTGGTCATGGTGCCCAGAGTCTGTATAGCGATCTACATTTGGGGGAAAAAAGCCATATACTTGGCAAGCCACTGCAATAGTTTCACAACAAATTAGCTAGCGGACTGTGCTCTGCTTACACTCTCATTCAATGAATTACCGACTGGATAGGCATCCAGTTTCTGCAACTCTGACGTCCATAGTGGACCCTCTGCACAAAACGCATTGCCCTATTACCAGGGAACAGGCCAGGTGACTTCTAGCATCATAACAACAACTGAGTAATCTTTTACAGATACACTTTAAGCACCAAAACCTTCTGTTTCTTAATGTAGTGATTTTCAAGTATAGATGTCCCTTTTCTCTGACAATGTCAAACAATGAGAAACGACAATATTTACGTTTTGCTAAAAATGTGGCTCTAGTGGTAGTCCCTTGACTGTGTTAATACAAACATGTATTCCTGACCCTGTAGTGCTAAACCCCACTATTTAGGTGCCCCCCAGAATGGGTTAAAAATCACCTTATTTTCAGCTCTCCACGGGTCTGCTAGCACTGGATTGGCTAAAATCAGCAAGGGGGCAGGGCCAAGCGACATTTTTGCCAGTCAGCACCTCCTCATAGATGCATTGATTCAATGCATCTCTACAAGGAAAATTCTGTGTCTCCATGCAGAGCGTGGGGATGCTGAATGGCAGGGCTCTAAGGAGTGGCCACTAGGAGGTGTCCCTCGTGGCAATGTAAACACTGCCTTTTCTCTGAAAAGGCAGTGTTTACATGAAAATGCCTGGAGGGAGCTATTATGCTCACCAGAACAACTACATTAAGCTGTAGTTGTTCTGGTGACTATAGTCCACCATTAACAAAAATATTTTATCTTTAAGAACCCAAACCTGACTTACCGCTGGGGTATTGTGCAAGTTTTGTTTATTTCATATAGCATAAATATGGTGCTCACAGCCTGCTATTGTTGTCTAAATTTGGAGAGGCCAACATGGAGTGCCAAGAGTGTTATTTTCGGCAAACTGCTACAACGGTTTCACAAGAAATGGAGGTTCTGATGTGAAAGACTCCTTTTATCATAGCCAGAATAATTCCATGTTGTGGTTATTGTGTTAGTATGCGCCTTTAAGTAATGATCTAGCTGTGTTTGCTGAAAAGTACCAAGTTTCAATAGAAATATGCATGATTTAACAGGAAATGGATTCCTGTGATAACACAGAAGTCCACAGAGAATTTGCAACAAAGTAATGTTAGAAAAAAAAATGGTAAATACATGTAGACATACAGTATAGATATAATCCCATAACTGTTAATGTGACTTCTCTAGTATATGCTATTTTACAAATGTTCTTTTTTCATATCCTTCCTTTACATTTCACTGAATTACTTTCTTCTGTCTGTAGGTTTGATCATGTCCCTCTTGCAACACCAAATGGGGATATTTTAATCAGAGATCTTGACTTTGAGGTAACGTTTTTTGTTTTTGTTTTTGTTTTGTTTTTTAAACTCTTTGACACATGGCTATATTTTAAATTTTAATGCTTCTTAAGCTATAAATAGTAGCAGGAACTCAGGACTTGGGAGTAGAGACCTTTCGGCTCAGTACGAGGGGATTCTAATTAATTTGCTGGATTTGTGTTTTTTTTTTTTTTAATTCTTTCAAATGTATTATTTTAATTGTTAACATATATGTTGGCTATGTGTATCTTGCATAAAGGGACACAGTAAGCACTATAACCATTTCACCTCATTGAATTGGTTATGGTACCGAGTGTGTCCTGGCACTGTCCCTCTAGACAGTGTTAAACCATTTTCAAGCAGTTTAACAGTGAATGAGAGTCCCTAGCTTCCCATAGTCCCGCCTCCACTGGAGATTTGGCTAAGGCAGAAATTACATTCTTCCTTCATACCAAAATGGGCACTGTGATTGGCTGAGAGTGTCAGCTGCCTGCCTTCAGCCTATCACAGATGCCCATTGTGTTCAAGCTAATACATCCTCATTAGCCTGAACAACACTGAGGGTAATCAACTGCTTGGAACTCCTGCATAACACTAAAAAATATAAGAAAATGTTTAACACTCAATCGAAGGACCGCACTAAGGGACTGCAGCCACTTCAATGAGATTAAGTATTTACAGTGCCAATAGAGTGCATCTTTATCTGTCTAACATATATAATTTGCATCTTTATCTGTCTGCTACTGAGCAGCAAATGCACACATTTTAAAACTCACTCCCAGCTGATAGAGGAATTTGATCCCTAAACAGTATGTCAACAAGAGTCCCTTATTAAATGGTCACTATAGGGTCAGGACCACAAACATGTATTCCTGACCCTAAAGTGTTAAAACCACCATCTAGCCCCGCTGGGCCCTTCACGCCTCCATAAATATTGCAAAATCTTACTGTATTGAAGCCTGAAGCTGTAACTCTGCATGCTGTTACTCAGAAAAACAAGCAGTCTGCTGACATCATCAGAAGTGGTAGCCTGATCCAATCACAATGCTTCCCCATAGGATTGGCAGAGACTGGCAAGGAGGGAGATCCAGCACAATTCAAACACAGTCCTGGCAAATCAGCATCTCCTCATATAGGTGAATTGAATCAATGAATCTATATAAGGAAAGTTCAGTGTCTGCATGCAGAGAGAGGAGATACTGAATGTTTGGATGCATTTTAGGCAGCCATAACCCAGGAAGGATCTCGAACAGCTATCTGAGGAATGGTTAGTGACGTTATCAGTAGGCTGTAATGTAAACACTGCATTTTCTCTGAAAAGACAGTGTTTACAGCAAAAAGCCTGAAGGTAATGATTCTCCTCACCAGAACAAATTCAATAAGCGGTAGTTGTTCTGGTGACTATAGTGTCCCTTTAAGGGCGAAATAGCCAAATTGGAACTCAAACCATATTTAAGACATAATTCTTAATGCCAGATTAGCACATGAATGAGTATTTCACAATTTTGTCTAAATCATATACCAATAGATTATATTTTACAACTGAGAACTGATTTTTTTTATTTACATTTTTAATCTAAGGTGAGATCAGGCGCCAATGTTCTTGTTTGCGGGCCTAATGGATGTGGAAAGAGCTCTCTGTTCCGGGTGTTAGGAGAGGTAAAAAAAAAACTTAAAATTACCTTTCTGAAGAAAATTAAAAAAAAAATTAAATTAAAACTAATGCTGAGTGTCATGGGGAGGTTTATCTGCCAAGTGATGGGGAGAGTGTGGGCATGAAGGGATTAATAGCACCTAGCCTCTGGCTACCTTATACAAGGGCATGCAGTGACACCAAATTAACATGCAAATCGTACCTACGCCAACACAGACTAACACTGCTGCCACCACTCACCCTGGATATGAAGTACCCAAATGACGTTCCAGTTCTACCTAAAGGCAAATGGTATAAATATATCAATCCCTTACACAATGAACAGTCTGGTAACATGAATTTCAACCTTGTCTCTACAGGTTTGTGAATTCAGATACTACAGCCCAAATACAAAATTAGATTAATATTTTAATAATGAAAAGACAAATTAATTTGTCACACTGCCAAAATTACATAAAAGAGCAGACCTACAAAACCAAAATAAATGCAAAAGTCAGTTCTTAAAATAAAATGTGACTTAAACAAAACACAGGATCTACACTTGCACAAGTATCCCTAAGAATCTTGTGGTAGGCCAGTGGGAATTTATAGTTATGTCAGATGATCAAATAAAGTCCAAGAGTCATTCTGTTTAATCTGGGCTGGCATTCAGGCATATACAGGGGCGTACCTAGAGCTTTTGGCACACGGGACGGATCCTAAATTTGTCACCCTGTTTTTATGTAGTGCTGACATTTGTATGTAGTGTGGTTTTTGAATACAGTGGTGTGTTTATGTATAATGGTGGTGTTCTAATACAGAGGTGTGTTTGTATGTAGTGTTGGTGTTTGAATGCAGGGGTGTATTTGTATGTAGTGTTTGTAGGATGTTGAGGTGTGTGTGTGTGTGTGTGTGTGTGCGTGTGTGTGTGTATACACACACACACACACACGCACACACACACACACACACATGCACACTGACAGAAACACAGCTAAACAAACTGACACACAGATACAATCACGCACACATGCAGATACAAATACAATTATAGACACACACACTCACACTCTTACAGATACAGACAAGCACACATAAAGAGTCACACTTACAGATACAGACATGTATACACATGCAGATACAGTCACACATAGATACAAAAACTGACACAAATGGATACTTAGGCACAGATACAGACACACGGATGCAATTACACAGTGCGTATGTGTGTCTAGTGGATGCATAGTATGTGTGTGTATATAGTGGATGCAAGGTGTGTAATGGATGCTCTAGGGGTAATGGATGCAATGTCTGTTTGTGTAGTGAATGCATTGTGTGTGTGTGTAATGGATGCATTATATGTGTGTGTATATGTGTGTGTATATATATATAATATATATATATATATGTGTGTGTGTGTATATGTGTATATGTGTATATATGTATGTATATGTGTATGTATGTATATGTGTATGTATGTATATGTGTATATATATGTATGTATATGTGTATATATATGTGTGTATATATATGTATGTATATGTGTATATATGTATGTATATGTGTATATATATGTATGTATATGTGTATATATATGTATGTATATGTGTATATATATGTATGTATATGTGTATATATATGTATGTATATGTGTATATATATGTATGTAT